AGGCCTGCTTACAGCCTGACGAAGGTTGGGCTTTGGCCCTGCCCAGAAGGGGGACTGGAAGGTTTGTGCCTGTCGTTCCTGCCCCTATAACTATAAAAATCCTGCCGCGGCCGAGGAGGATATGGGCGCTGCTATTGCCGTTGGGGCTTGAGATGTTTTCACTGGGTTTCTGGAGTGCATGCCCAACAATTTCATAGTTGCCCGGGAGTCCTTTAAGCTGTGCAGAAGTCTGTCTGCTCCGAAAATAACCCTGCGCTTTCAAACAGTAGGTCCTGCAGGGTTTGCTGCACCTCCAGGGGCAACCCGGATGCATGAAGCCATGAGCTCTTCCTCATGGCTATTCCTGAGGAAAGAGTGCGGGCAGCCGAGTTCGCAGAGTCCAACGAAGCCTGCAAAGAGGTCCGCGCCACTGCCTTCCCCTCATCAATAATAGCAGAGAACTCGGCTCTGGAGTCTGGTGGAATCAGCTCCTTGAACTTCAACGCAGAGTCCCATGAGTTGAAGTTATATCTACTGTGGAGGACAGTTTGCTGGTTGGTTTTACGCAACTGCAGCTGAGGATACCTTCCTGCAGAAAAGGTCCATCCTTTTCGACTCTTTGGATTTAGGGGCCAGCCCCTGCTGCCTGTCTCTCTTTCTGATTAACCGCTGACACTACCAGAGAACATGGTTGTGGGTGAGAGAACAGATACTTGTACCCCTTACAGGGGATGAAGTATTTGCGCTCCACACCTCTGGCAGTAGGCGGGATTGAAGCCGGGGTCTGCCACAGAGTCTTAATATTGCTTGGATCGCTTTTATTAATGGCAGAGTTACCTGGGATGGTCCTTCTGGAGGGAGGATGTCGACCATGGGGTCCTTGGGTTCGACCACTTCCTCTGCCTGTAATCCCATGTTGTGGGCAATCCTCTGGAGAAGGTCCTTGTGGGCCCTGTGGTCAACTGGAGGAGGGCCTGAGGTTGAAGCTCCTGCCATTGCCTCGTCCGGGAACAAAGATGAAGAGGCCAGAGGCGGAACGGGGTCCTCCTGGCCCTCCGGCTTCCTGACCTCCTCTTGGTCAGTATCTGGGGCCTCTGTAGCTACTGTAGCCATGGTGGCGGTAGCCTGACTTTGCAATGGGTCTTGCCTCTGCAGCGATCTGGGAGGCTTGTGCCAAAGTGGCCTCAGATCCCCAGGGCATAGCCCGGTTCTTGGCTGGCTGGGGTGGTTGGTGCTCAGAGGCCACCGAGCGGGAGCCCCTAGAAAAAGAGCCTTGGGCCTGAGGGTAAGGCCAGGGGGTCCAAAAGGGCCATTGTGCTGGAGGCTGTCACTGGGGGAGTGCCATGCCATTGGTGCCTACCTCCGTTGCTTGTCAGATCTGTGTTGGCTTCAACAGGAATAGAAGGAATCACTGAGTCTGATGAGATGGATCTCCACTGTGATGACCACGGTGGAGCCGAAGTGTCCTGTGCTATGGACTAGTGCCAAGCTGATGATGCAGGGGACCGGTGTCAAGGCGCTCGTGCCAGGAATCTGGTGCCGTCCTCTCTCGGAGCCGGGGATAGGTGCTGCGCCATCCTCTGTGCCAGGGAAGGGGAGCAACATCCTGCTGATGCTGGGGAACCCCGCACAGAATCCAGAGCAGAAGAGCGGTGCCTTGGAGATGATGATCTGGAGTGGGGGCCGAGGCAAACGGTGCCTGACAAGAGAGGGTGAGTGCTGCATCATGGTCTGCTTGTCTCTAGACAGCACCAGAGCTCATCTCTGACCACCGGGGGCTGAGGAGCCGTCATGGCAATTAAATCTCTGGCAGCTGCAAAAATGTCCAGGGTGGAGGGTAGCTCCAACTCCTCCACCTGGCGCTGCCCATCTGAGGAGTTGCTGGACTCCGGACTAGACATTTACCTCAGGCGAACTGAAGTCAACGGTGCCAACTCTTGCTGCTTGGGTGCCGGATGCTCCTTCAAGGGATGCACCGGTGCAGCACCTGCGGGTCCAGCTGCTTTCAGCACTGGGGACCGCCCCCTGTCGGCTTTTCTATGCCGCTTGTACGGCACCGGTGAATGCGAGGGATGCTGGGTTGTCTCCTCAGCATGTGGTGCCGAAGAGTGCCAGTTACGAGGGTCTCAGACTAGAGTCCTTCCTTGGCATTCTGTCACGTACTGATGCTCCGTACGGACGCGCTCAGTGCTGGGTCCTGGTGGTCCACAGCAGACTGAGGACGAAGAGCGGATTCCATGAGCAATTGCCTAAGTTGGAAATCTCGCTCCTTTTTTGTCCTGGGGCGCAAAGCCCTGCATATCTTGCACCTTTCTGCCTTGTGTGCCTCCCCCAGATGCTTCAGAAACGAGTCATGGAGGCCACACATTGGCATAGGCTTACTGCAGGTTCTGCAGGGTTTAAAGCTTTGGGCTTGCGGCATGCCCCGGTGCCCAAGAGTTGGGGGCGTTGGGATTGGGGAAACCCTGCTCCCAAACCTTACTATATATACACACTATGTACTAACAATAACTACAACTAAACTAAACTAACCTCGCTATGTAAAGAATGCTAAGGGAAGCGCTTGCTAGGCAAGAGATCGCAGATCCAATGACCGTCACTGGTGGTAAGAAGGAACTGAGGAGGTGCAGAGTCGGCAGAGTCCTATATCCACCACCATGAAGGTGCTACTCCAGGGGGCTTCACAGCTGACCCGATGGGAGCTAAGGGAAAAGTTTCCGACGACTGTGTACGTGGCGCGCACACTCCTAACTGGAATTGACATGAACAAGCACTCAAAGAAGAAGATTAACAAACAGCCCTGCTTCTAGAGTTTCTCAGAGAAGAGGCAGAAAGATTAACGAAAGCTACTTTCTAACAAACTAATGCAGGCGAGGAGTAGTCTGGGGGCATCAATTACCTAATTTGCTCGTTTCCCAAAAGGCACAAACTTGGGTTCCTTGTTTTTTCATTAATTTTTATTCATACATCTCACACATTGGAGAATTTTTCTGCTGAGGAAGGATGATCAGAGCAGACTATCAACCCAGAGGCCTGAGGGTAGGGCAAGGGGAAGTAAATTGTATGAAGAATCCAAAACATCTTTAAAGTGCAAATATTTGCTCTCTGAGGCACAAAAGCAGCTTAAAATGGAGAGCAGCAGAGCATGGTTATATTTTTGGCATTTGCACACTTTCATACTTCACCTGTTAAACATGCGTTCTATGCATAATACATAAGCTATTTACTGCAGCATAATCAGCCATGGCCACACTTTTTCAAAGTAGAAGAAAAACCTGGATGACAGCAAGGAAGTTGAGCATGTACCAAAATATTGCTCTTATTATCCTGTGCCCCCAAATGACAGTGCCATGATGGAAAATGCTCACTCAAAAGGACTATATGATTAGTAGAACATTCTAAAAGTTGCTGTATACCTTCAGGTTTTTTTTAAATACTATGAGACAGGTTTCTAGAACTGGAATTCAGTGACCTCTGTTTTATAAACTCTTTGGGGAAAGAGTGGCTTGGTTCAAATTCCCTTTCAGAGAAGTCAGTGGACTTGAATAAAATAACTGGGATTGAAGGATCAACTGTACACAACATTGTAGATGAAGTAATAAAACATGTAAGTACTGTGACAGAACATTTGAAAAAAAAAATCTCCTGATTAAGAACAATAGCCATGGGGAAGAGTGAACATACTGGTGAAGCAGATTTGACCGCTGAAAATTAGTATTAGGCATGCCAGTGGGTAGAAAATTCCCTGATCCTTTTGAATCTTAGAAAAACTTTATTTAAATTACTGGGTTTGCATTTGAAGGATAACCTTTCGGATTTAAAAAAATGGTACAGCCCAATATCTGAGATGGGAATGACAACTCCAGAAGCTAATATCATTGAGACTGTAAGGGACAGAGGGCAAACGCAACACACACAAAAACTCTGAATTTGAAGGGGAGATTTTTCTGTCTTCCTGAATTTAAGCATAGGAACCTGGAATACAGCCTGTTAAACAAAAACAATACACGCCAGGGTTTTGTGAATGAGTGGCAGAAATGGCTCTTAACGCCTGTCAATCTGCACACTACTCAAAGAATATCTTCTGGGATGTGATGTCTGCCAGCTGGATCTTGCAAAAGATTAAGGAGGATACTGCAAGACTTAGGGAGGATTCAAATGAAAAGAGAAATAGTGCTTTCTTTTATTGATTTTATTTTTGCCTCCTTATAATGGAAGCTGTCCTAAATAATACTGCCCTTTTTTCCTATTAGTGTTTATTGCGACTGTCACATTTACTTTAGTGAGGTTACTGTTTGTATCAGTTAAACTTCTCTGCACAGTACATTTCCACAGAAACATATTACACACATTCAAATATTAGATACAGGGAATAAGCGAGTTATTCCTACTTTTCCACTATTTCCCAAATAACTAATGGTGGACACACTATTCTATTCAAGACAGAACAGACAAGCATAAAGGTGTCCATTTATGTTACGAGATTTACTTCATGCAAAATGTCCTTAACATAATTGAAACATTAGATTGTATGTAAAATTATATGATTTTCTTCAACAGCTGTGCTTGTTCCCTCTGTGCTATCAGATTTTTAAAATGAAGTTAACTCCTGATCTTTCTTCTTAGATCACTGTCCACAGATGGTATGCCATGGAATAGATCATCAACAAAAGCTGGTAAGGAAAATAAAGACTGGGGAATAACAGTACATTTGCAAATAAGTTTTCAGTTTATTATCCATATTCATTATTGTTTATGATGTCATTTATGTCATGTTTTCTGGCACATGAACTGGACTAAACATCACATGCTGTACTGCTGACATCCCTGTCCTTAATTGTCATATATAATTTAGCACTCTAGATTCACTTTTTACAGGAATCTACTAGTTTTGCTGTTATTTAATGCAACAAAAAGTCAGCAACAGAGCGTGCTTGAAAGCACCCATGGGAAAGCTCACTGTCAACTGTTTTTTAATGCTAAAGTTGAGGATTTAAGAGCTGTTAGTCTATCATACATACCTGTCTAAATTTAGCTCTTGCTTCCTTTTCCTTCATTCTTCCATGTGCAACAAGATAGTCAAATACTTCACCTGCAATTGAAACATATCAAAGATTAAATGAGAACTGTTGAATATTTTAAAATACTAGCTAGTTAATTTCAAAATCTAGGGTTAGTTTCGTAAATGTAAGAGTAACATATATTGTATGAGCTACATAAATGTCAGAAATTTGAGCTAAATTTGAGATTTCAGTTAGAATGATTTTTCACATGAATAAACAATCATAACAGGGACTAACTTTTCATTTTTGCAAAAGGTTCATAGCAAGAGCCCAGAAGAGTGATTTACTATGATGTCATAATTTCACTGAGAAAAGAAAAACTTTAAAAAGAACTAGCTGGGTGACCGAATGTAGGCAAAATATTTGTTTTCTATCATTTATGGTAGAAAATGAGCAGCATGCTTTTCTTTACAAAAAAAAAAGTCCTGAATTCCTTTCAGATTTCCATTAGAAAAATATCTGCTGTATCACAGAGATAGACTGTCATAAGCCTCATCTACAGTACAAAAATGTTTAAAGGATCTTGTAAATATGGTTGTAGCCTCAGAATGTTATAATATAGTTAATCTAAGTGTACAAAAATTATATTACAATGATGCAAATCCCTGTTTCAACCTGTGGTTGAAATAAAATGGGGTCTTTATTATAAAAACCATCCAGACTGATGTGATGAAGGAAGCCAGAATTTAATCATCATATATAAGACATTGAAGAAAAGCATCCTGGCATAACAGGTCCTTGGAAGACTTCCAAAATGTGAAAGAAACAATGCAACATGTCAAGGGACATTTGAAGGACATAGTACTGAAGAAAAATTGAAAAGGGCTGCATTTTTAAACAGTCAATTAATGTCTGGCATTTTATAACTAGCCTCCTTGACTAGTTTTTAAATGTTGCCATCTATCCAGTGAAATATCGCCTTGTTTGTCACAGTGTGACTTAAATGTTTTTCTACTGAAAAACTGTAAGCATTAGATATGGAAGAGGTAATGCTTCCACATACATAATTAGGTCTTTAAGTACAAATAAATCATTTCATTTAAATAATCTAAGATTTTAGGAGTTCAAAGATCAAATCACTATTTTAATATTTATATACTCTCAGATAAGTTAGAGAACATTTTTCACATTATGACTTCAAAAAAGGAAAAATATATAATTAAAAGTACTTTTAATTTTGAAAAAGTCACAACCTGGAATCAACTCAAACTGATTTAAGTACAGAATGCACAACAGACACTACAATAAAGAACACAACATCTGACAAAAGGAGTTTGCGTGAATGGTTTGATAAGTTTGCATCTTCTGAACAGATTTTTTTTGATTTCCAGAGTAGCAGTTAAAATACAACAGTCAGTGATAACAACTCCCTGAAATATATCTTACAGCTATTTCTTTTTAAAGAATTAGTAAATAAAAATTCATAGAAATGCAGGGGATCAGACAAAGAAAAATTCCAACCCTGTTTATCGGAAGTGTTTCAGGAATATAAAAAGCAGAGAAAAACAGTAGTTCAAATAACCGAGGGAGTTACTGAATATTTAACTTAAGTTGAGACAGATGACTAAAATGTAGATAAAGGGGAATTTTCGGAATGGAATCCATATTGGGGCACAGTCATCTGCTATTATACTTTCATGTAGCATATTCCATAAGTATATAATAGTACTAATGGCTTCTGTGCCAAACACACAGGTCTCTCATTTCAGCTAAAAGGAGCGTCTCAGGCCTGGTCTACACTACAGAATTAGGCTGATGTAAGGCAGCTTACATTGACCTAATTATGTCAGTGTGTCTACGCTACAGCCTTGCTCCTATGGATGTAAGTGTCCTAATACACTGACATAATAATTCCACCTCCATGAGAGGTGTAGGACTTACACTGGTGTAGTTAGGGCAACGCAGTGCCCGTGTAGACACTGCAGGTTACTTACATCCGCTGTTAGCTGTCATTCTTGTCAATTTCACAGCTCCCTGTTGGAACTGTGAAATTGACAAGAAAGCCGGACTTACAGCTTGGGCTGTCACCCCAGGGCAGATGGAGGGCTCCAGCTAGAGCCCAGCTGCCCCCGGCTCTCTGCTCTCAGTAGCACTACTGCCTGGGCTCCTGGCTCCCCACTGGGAGCCCAGTAGTCGGGTAGCCAAGAGCCTGAGGGCGCAGCTGGAATCCTGGCAGGGAGCAGGTAGCCAAGAGCCTAGGGGGGACAGAGGGGAAAGCTGCATGCGGAGCTGAGAGCCCATCCTCTCAGTCCTCCACACTGCGCCTCTTAAGTCAGTGGAAGTACTCCTTTTGAGGATGCGCACCACCAACAGAAGGAAGTTAGTGCAGACACGAACCACAGCAGTAATTACAACGGTAGGTATAAGTTGAGCTAACATAGATCGACTTAAGTTTGTAGCGTAGACATGCCCTCAGTTATCTGTAGTAGTTTTAGGCCTTCTATCCTCTGCAAGCCAGTCACTAGATGGCAGTATGACCTTACTTTTAAGTCAAAAACTATCGAAGAAGGGAGAGGTGCACACACACTAGCATGCTCAATGTGCAGAGGTCAAAAAAGCTAACAACGTTAGGAACCATTACGAAAGGGATAGATACTGCATACAGTGTGTCCCATCTCAAAAAAAAATATATATTTTGGTATTGGAAAAAGTACCAAATAGGGCAACAAAAATGATTAGTGGTATGGAACAGCTTCCATATGATGAAAAATTAAAAAGATGAACTGTTCAGCTTAGACTGAGGGGAGATATGATAGAAGTCCATAAAATCATGAATGAGGTGGAGAAAGTGAATAAGGAAGGGGTTATTTACCCCCTTCAGATAACACATGAACTAGGGATCATCCAATTAAATTAACAGACAGCAGGTTTAACAAACATAAGGAAGTGCTTCCTCACACAACGCGCAGTCAACCTGTGGAACTCAGGGCCAGGGATGTTGCAAAACCCAAAAATGTAACTGGGTTAAAAAAAGAAGCAGATAAGTTTATGGAGGATAGGTCCATCAATGGCCATTAACCAAGATAGTCAGGGATGCAACTCCATGCTCTGGGAATCTCTAAACTTCTGACTGATAGAAGCTGGGACTTGAGAATAGGTCACTTGATAAACTATCCTGTTCTGTTCATAGAATCATAGAATATCAGGGTTGGAAGGGACCTCAGGAGGTCATCTAGTCCAACCCCCTGCTCAAAAGCAGGACCAATCCCCAATTAAATCATCCCAGCCAGGGCTTTGTCAAGCCTGACCTTAAAAACTTCTAAGGAAGGTCACTTAGAAGTTCACTCCCTATGAAGTATCTGGCACTGTCTACTATCAGAAGACAGGATACTGGGTTAGATGGACCATTGGTCTGACCCAGTTTGGCCGTTCTTATGCCCTTCCCTACCATTAGTCCCAGTTAGACAACTAGAAAACTAGTTATGCACCTATGGAGCCTAGGAATTCAAATATAAGAGCTAGAACACAGTTTATATTCGCAAAAAGAAAAGGAGTACTTGTGGCACCTTAGAGACTAACCAATTTATTTGAGCATAAGCTTTTGTGAGCATCCGATGAAGTGAGCTGTAGCTCACGAAAGCTTATGCTCAAATAAATTGGTTAGTCTCTAAGGTGCCACAAGTACTCCTTTTCTTTTTGCGAATACAGACTAACACGGCTGTTACTCTGAAACCTCTCCTTACAATGTGTATGATAATCAAGGTGGGCCATTTCCAGCACAAATCCAGGTTCTCTCACCCCCCACCCCCAACCCCCCGCCACACACAAACTCACTCTCCTGCTGGTAATAGCTCATCCAAAGTGACCACTCTCCCTACAATGTGCATGATAATCAAGGTGGGCCATTTCCAGCACAAATCCAAGTTTAACCAGAATGTCTGAGGGGGAGGGGGCTTAGGAAAAAACAAGGAGAAATAGGCTACCTTGCATAATGACTTAGCCACTCCCAGTCTCTATTCAAGCCTAAATTAATAGTCTCCAATTTGCAAATGAATTCCAATTCAGCAGTTTCTTGCTGGAGTCTGGATTTGAAGTTTTTTTGTTGTAAGATAGCGACCTTCATGTCTGTAATTGCGTGACCAGAGAGATTGAAGTGTTCTCCGACTGGTTTATGAATGTTATAATTCTTGACATCTGATTTGAGTCCATTTATTCTTTTGTGTAGAGACTGTCAAGGTGGACCAATGTACATGGCAGAGGGGCATTGCTGGCACATGATGGCATATGTCACATTGGTGGATGTGCGGGTGAACGAGCCTCTGATAGTATGGCTGATGTTATTAGGCCCTGTGATGGTGTCCCCTGAATAGATATGTGGGCACAGTTGGCAACGGGCTTTGTTGCAAGGATAGGTTCCTGGGTTAGTGGTTCTGTTGTGTGGTATGTGGTTGTTGGTGAGTATTTGCTTCCGGTTGGGGGGCTGTCTGTAGGCAAGGACTGGCCTGTCTCCCAAGATTTGTGAGAGTGTTGGGTCATCCTTCAGGATAGGTTGTAGATCCTTAATAATGCGTTGGAGGGGTTTTAGTTGGGGGCTGAAGGTGACGGCTAGTGGCGTTCTGTTATTTTCTTTATTAGGCCTGTCCTGTAGTAGGTGACTTCTGGGAACTCTTCTGGCTCTATCAATCTGTTTCTTCACTTCCGCAGGTGGGTATTGTAGTTGTAAGAATGCTTGATAGAGATCTTGTAGGCGTTTGTCTCTGTCTGAGGGGTTGGAGCAAATGCGGTTGTATTGCAGAGCTTGGCTGTAGACGATGGATCGTGTGGTGTGGTCAGGGTGAAAGCTGGAGGCATGTAGGTAGGAATAGCGGTCAGTAGGTTTCCGGTATAGGGTGGTGTTTATGTGACCATTTCCGATGTCTTCGACTCAAGGAATATTTCCAAAATACCTCTGAACAACATACTAATCCACAGAGGCCTCCCTACCAACATTACAAAAAGAAGGATTCTAGGTGGACTCCTCCTGAAGGTCGAAACAGCAGACTGGACTTCTACATAGAGTGCTTCCGCCGACGTGCATGGGCTGAAATTGTGGAAAAGCAGCATCATAACCTCAGCCATGGAGAACACAATGCCATCCACAGCCTCAGAAACAACTCTGACATCATAGTCAAAAAGGCTGACAAAGGAGGTGCTGTTGTCATCATGAATAGGTCGGAATATGAACAAGAGGCTGCTCGGCAGCTCTCCAGCACCACTTTCTACAAGCTATTACCCTATGATCCCACTGAGAGTTACCAAAAGCAACTACAGCATTTGCTCAAGAAACTTCCTGAAAAAGCACAAGATCAAATCCGCACAGACACACCCCTGGAACCCCGACCTGGGATATTCTATCTACTACCCAAGAACCATAAACCTGGAAATCCTGGGCGCCCCATCATCTCAGGCATTGGCACCCTGACAGCAGGATTGTCTGGCTATGTAGACTCCCTCCTCAGGCCCTATGCTACCAGCACTCCCAGCTACCTTCGAGACACCACTGACTTCCTGAGGAAACTACAATCCATCGGTGATCTTCCTGATAACACCATCCTGGCCACTATGGATGTAGAAGCCCTCTACACCAACATTCCACACAAAGATGGACTACAAGCCGTCAAGAACACTATCCCCGATAATGTCACGGCTAACCTGGTGGTTGAACTTTGTGACTTTGTCCTTACCCATAACTATTTTACATTTGGGGACAATGTATACCTTCAGATCAGCGGCACTGCTATGGGTACCCGCATGGCCCCACAGTATGCCAACATTTTTATGGCTGATTTAGAACAACGCTTCCTCAGCTCGTCCCCTAACACCGCTACTCTACTTGCGCTACATTGATGACATCTTCATCATCTGGACCCATGGAAAAGAAGCCCTTGAGGAATTCCACCATGATTTCAACAATTTCCATCCCACCATCAACCTCAGCTGGTCCAGTCCACTCAAGAGATCCACTTCCTGGACACTACAGTGCTAATAAACAATGGTCACATAAATACCACCCTATACCGGAAACCTACTGACCGCTATTCCTACCTACATGCCTCCAGCTTTCACCCTGACCACACCACACGATCCATCATCGACAGCCAAGCTCTGCGATACAACCGCATTTGCTCCAACCCCTCAGACAGAGACAAACGCCTACAAGATCTCTATCAAGCATTCTTACAACTACAATACCCACCTGCGGAAGTGAAGAAACAGATTGATAGAGCCAGAAGAGTTCCCAGAAGTCACCTACTACAGGACAGGCCTAATAAAGAAAATAACAGAACGCCACTAGCCGTCACCTTCAGCCCCCAACTAAAACCCCTCCAACGCATTATTAAGGATCTACAACCTATCCTGAAGGATGACCCAACACTCTCACAAATCTTGGGAGACAGGCCAGTCCTTGCCTATAGACAGCCCCCCAACCGGAAGCAAATACTCACCAACAACCACATACCACACAACAGAACCACTAACCCAGGAACCTATCCTTGCAACAAAGCCCGTTGCCAACTGTGCCCACATATCTATTCAGGGGACACCATCACAGGGCCTAATAACATCAGCCACACTATCAGAGGCTCGTTCACCCGCACATCCACCAATGTGACATATGCCATCATGTGCCAGCAATGCCCCTCTGCCATGTACATTGGTCCACCTTGACAGTCTCTACACAAAAGAATAAATGGACTCAAATCAGATGTCAAGAATTATAACATTCATAAACCAGTCGGAGAACACTTCAATCTCTCTGGTCACGCAATTACAGACATGAAGGTCGCTATCTTACAACAAAAAAACTTCAAATCCAGACTCCAGCAAGAAACTGCTGAATTGGAATTCATTTGCAAATTGGAGACTATTAATTTAGGCTTGAATAGAGACTGGGAGTGGCTAAGTCATTATGCAAGGTAGCCTATTTCTCCTTGTTTTTTCCTAAGCCCCCTCCCCCTCAGACATTCTGGTTAAACTTGGATTTGTGCTGGAAATGGCCCACCTTGATTATCATGCACATTGTAGGGAGAGTGGTCACTTTGGATAAGCTATTACCAGCAGGAGAGTGGGGTGGGAGGAGGTATTGTTTCATGGTCTCTGTGTATATAATGTCTTCTGCAGTTTCCACAGTATGCATCCGATAAAGTGAGCTGTAGCTCACGAAAGCTTATGCTCAAATAAATTGGTTAGTCTCTAAGGTGCCACAAGTACTCCTTTTCTTTTTGCGAATACAGACTAACACGGCTGTTACTCTGAAACAGTTTATATTAGCAACCACATCACGATATCCCAGATATGCTGCACATATGCAGTGGGACCCAATGGTGAAACTCTGCTCTTCTGTTTCAGAGGACAAACCTCTATGTCTCCCCAGCAAAACTGAAGATATGCCTCAAATATTTGTGCGATTCCCACCAGCTGATTTTGAAGTTTAACCATTTTTAGCTATCCAGAAGAGTAAATGCCTTGATTCTAGCTATAGTTACAAACAGCGGAAAACACTGAGAAAATGTTCACATTTGCTCAAAAATTCAGAATTAATTATTCAAAAGGGGGAGTCAGTGGAGGAACTTAAAGAGGGGGTTACAGAGACAAGGTGGGTGAGATAATATCTTATTGGACCAACTTCTGTTGGTGAGAGACAATTTTTTGAGCTTTCACAGCTCTTCAGGTTTGGGAAACGTATTCAGCGTCACAGCTAAATACAAGGTGGAACAGATTGTTTAGCACAAGTAGTTAAATTTTTCAAGGGACCATTCAAGGTGAAGAGGCCCATGTGGCTGTCAGAATGAAGAGTCCAGAAGATTTTGGTAACTGCGGATCTTACTTTAATTTAAAAGGGCCACTTTAATCAGGATAGTCCATATGTCACCAACATTCAAAAACAAGAAGTGCAATGTTGAAGTACTGGTTATTTAAAATGCAAGGGCAAATAGATTTGCTACACTTTTCCACCTGAATGTTATATGCTATTACTTCATACAATACTACATCTGAATATATAATTAACTTTACCAAATACCACATCAATGAAACCAACTGTCATACCAATTCCTGCCTATTGTGAATATCCTTATTTTGCTATTACCACTATGATGGACTGACTGATCAATGAAAATTATGAAAAAAATTCCCTCTGGATTTCAATAAAGCTTGGCTTACTTAAAAAATTGCACAGCTTTAAGAAAATGCCTCCCAAAAAATTAACATTTCACCTGAAATGTTGCACTATCATGAAATCAATGTTTCTTGTTTTAAGGAGTATTACAAAAGAAAACTTTAATACCATTTGGCAATTTCTTTACATTTGTATCACATAAAAGGAAAATACTTACCCCCACTTGCATACTCCATGATTAAGTAGAGAGTTTTTTCAGTTTCAATTACTTCAAATAACTTCACTAGAGGAAAAAAGAGCAGTTATTTACTAAAAGATTACAACCAATTATAGGAGTCTAGTTTTCTGTTAGTCTTTGTGGAAGATTCTCTCAAAGTAGACTACTGCTGCTTGACAATATCAAAACAACTTTTCTCAAAAGCAATTATTTCCATTTCATGCTTCTAAATGGAAAAACTGAAATGCTTTATTAGTAGTTTGCAGTCTGGGTCAAACTTTTATGAATGTACAATTCTGGCTTGAAACACCCTCAGTTTAGGGTCAAGTGAAAAAAAAATCAATTAATTTAAGCATAGCTCCCAAAAAACAAAGTACTGGGTAACAGTAATTTGTATACATTATATACAGGGTACGTTGTTGCCTCAACTATTGTCTACAGAATCTGAAGACAATACTGTATCACTTTAAATTAATTTTACATTCTGAGTGCTTTCTCCTCTCCCATGGGAGTAGGTTTTTTTAAATTTTATTTAAGTGAAAGCTTGGCTTCTGGAGCACAATTATGCAGCAATTTTCAGTCCTTTGTGTGACTGCATAATCACAGTATTCATGGGGTCCCAGGCAATAAGTATTCTTTTTTCTCCTCTTTAAAAACCACTTCTCAGATATAGTGGTGCATCAGCGTGGCAAGGCAAGTCTATGCAGCCAATGAAATGCCCTTATGTTAAAACACTTATCTCCCTATCACCACTTTAAGTGGGCTCCATGATGCAGAACCTTCATTAGACTTGTATACCACTGCTTTAACTTAAAACAAACCAACAAAAAAACCTGTAACTAATCTTTCCATAACTGTTGTTCCTTGAGATATATTGCACGTCCGTTCCACTGTAGCCATGTGCATCCTCCAGTGCACAGTTGGGGAGTTTTTCCCTTAACAGTTCCCATCAAGGTGGCATGAGTGCCCTCAAGTACCTTGCATGCAGGTATAAAAGGCCAAGCTGCCCCGACCCCCCCTCCTCAGTTCCTTACTCTAGAAAGACTCTGATAGAGAGGGGAAGGAGGATGGGTCATGGAAATGGACACATGCAACACATCTTGAAGAAAAACAGTTACAGAAAGATTAGTAACTTTTTTCCTGGAGTGATTTTGCACCCGTCCATTCCACTGTAGATGACTCACAAGCAGTCCCAACTGGAGGTGTGTTCGGAAACTATTTCAACACGAATCAAAGGACCATTCATCCAAATTTAGCATTGTCTTTAGATTGCCGATAGTGTAGTGAGAGGCAATCATGTGACATGATGTCCACGTTGCCTCTTTCCAAATGTCTAATATGGGCATGTTAGCAAGAAATACTGCTGAGATTGCTTGCGACTAAGTCAAATGACTCAACAATCTCTCTGGCGGCTTCACGTTAGCAAACACAAATGGGTATCCCATGATGAAATCCTTTGTGTGGACACAGGACTGCCCTTCATTCTGTCCACAAATGCAACAAACAACTGAGACCAAGATCTGAAAGATTTCGTCTGATCCGAATAAAATGCTAAAGCTCTTCTAGCATCCCGAGGATGCAATCTCTCCTTATGTTTGTTATCATGAGGCTTTAGGGAAAAGATTTGTAAGAAAAAAAAACAAACAAACAGTTACTCACCTTCTTGTAACTAGAAAACGAGTACTTGTGGCACCTTAGAGACTAACCAATTTATTTGAGCATAAGCTTTCGTGAGCTACAGCTCGCTTCATCGGATGCATACTGGGAGTGCCAGTATGCATCCGATGAAGCGAGCTGTAGCTCACGAAAGCTTATGCTCAAATAAATTGGTTAGTCTCTAAGGTGCCACAAGTACTCCTTTTCTTTTTGCGAATACAGACTAACATGGCTGTTACTCTGAAACCTTCTTGTAACTGTTGTTCTTCGAGATGTGTTGTTCATGTCCATTCCGATCAGGTGTGCGCACACGCACACATGCACAGTAGCCAGAAGACTCTTTCCCAAAGCAGCCTCCCTCTGGTTGGTTGGGACACCCCCTGGAGTCACGCCTTCATGGTGCTCAATATAGAGCCCTGACGACCCGCCACCCCCTCAGTTCCTTCTTGTTGGCTACTCCGACAGAGTGGAATGAGGGTGGGTATTGGAATGGACATGAACACCACATCTCGAAGAACAACAGTTACGAGAAGGTAACTGTTTTTTCTTCTTCGAGTGCTTGTTCATGTCCATTCCAATCAGGTGACTCATAAGCCCAAGTTTAGGTGGCAGGGTTGGAGTCTTCCACTTATTGGAGCACTACTCGTCCGAACGCCGCATCGTCTCTGGCCTGCTGGGTAATCGCACAGTGCATGGCGAAAGTACGGATGGAGGAGCATGTCACCACCCTGCAGATTTCCTGAGTGGGAACCTGAGCCAGGAATGCTGTTGAAGAAGCCTGCGCCTGGTGAAGAGCTCAGTGATTGGAGGTGCAGGAACACCTGCCAGGTTGTAGCACTTATGAATACAGGACACTATCCATGACGAGATACATTGTGACAACACAGGCTGACCTTTCATTCTGTCCGCCACTGACATGAATAACTAGACTGATTTTCTCAATGGTTTCATTCTCTCGATGTAAAAGGCTAGTGCCCTGCAGACATCCAGAGAGCGAAGCCTCTGCTCCCTGCTGCTGGAATGAGGCTTAGGGTAGAATACCAGGAGAAAGATGTCCTGGTTGATTTGAAACTGTGACACAACCTTTGGGAGGAAAGCAAGTATGTGGCTCTCAGAGGGTTTTCTGCTGCCAAGGAGGACCTCTCTAACCTGGTCTGAACAGGGAAGCTCCATTAGGTTCAACCATGGAGTTTCCACACCGTGAGGTGAAGCGACTTGTGATTTGGATGTTGAAGATGACTGTGATCTTGTGTCAGAAGGTCCAGGATGAGCGCCAGGGTGATTGAGGATTCCACAGACATGTCTAGGAGAGATGTGTACCAGTGCTGATGGGGCCAGGCTGGTGCTATCAATATGACCTGAGCTTATTCTCTCCGGATCTTGAGCAGAACCTTGTGAACGAATGGTATGGTCTGAAAGGTGTATAGGAGAGAACCTCCCCAATGGAGGAGGAACATGTCCACGCTGGAGCCTGGGCTGTGATTTTGGAAGGAGCAGACCTGCTGGCACTTCCTGTTGTGTTGCGTGGTGAATAGGTCTATCTGCGGAAAGCCCCACCTCTGGAAGGTTGAAATTGTGATGTCCGGGTGAACAGACAACTCCTGGCTGTGAAACGACCTGCTGAGGTCGTCTGCCAGCTTGTTCTGTACCCTGGGGAGGTACAGCTCTTTATACCTGCCTGCGGTATGAGAGGCAACAGAGGGTGCTCATGCTGCCCCACCAGGTACCACTAAGGGAAAAAACTCTGACAACTGTGCACTGGAGCTCTCACACACCAAAAGCAAAATGGACATGTGCAATCACTCCGAAAACAAGCAGTCTTCTAAAAAGCTAGTTACACAGAACCAACATGTTAGGAAAACATGAAATACCTATATTTGGATGATTTAAAATCTTCATTATTCTTACTTCTCTGAAAAGCTGAAATAAAAAAGATAATAGGAAATCAAATAAACTAGTGACAAAACAATTACCATTCATTTCTTTCTAAGAAGCTGATTATTTTGTTCTATATCTAATGTTTAGAGTTCCATACCTAATCCTAATAAATGGTAGAGTAAATGTGAGAAACACAGGAATACTACATATTTCACTTTCAAATGGACAGAATAATCTTTTTTCAGACAAGAGGAGTAAAATGCCAGCTTTAAAAAAAGTTCTTCTAAAGGGACACTGGATACTTCAAGAGATAAACTGAGGCTTTAATCTCAAGATTATTGGTTCTGATCCAGTTCACTTTAATAAGTTTCATTAAAAGGTTACATTTATTACTTATGAAGGTCATACTTACTGCAGCATTTCATATTCCAAATACTGGCAATACCATGGTGTATTAAAGGATTTTATTTTAAGATAGCTCTCGAATGGCTTAGCAGTCACTATCTGATAGTCACAAATAAGTTACTGGTCAACATTAACTATTTACATCACAAAAAGCACAATAATTTTTACAGATACTGCCAACAAGCAAGCACTAATCAGGTAGTAGGTGAGAGAGAATCTCCCTCTTGGTCCCAGAGGAAGGTCCCTCCAAGTAAGAATTGAGGCACAGTTGCAGGGATTCATGATGATGATGTTTGCTTTGTCACAGCCTATGCTGTATTTGTTCTGTGGCTAGAGAGCCAACTTTGGCCTCTGGGATGTCAATCCAATATCTTTCATGAACACTACATTTACTTACCAAAATGAATGACAGCAAACAAAATCCATCGCATTTCCTTTCCACTATGACAAGTAGGGGATTATTTGGTCATGAATCTCAGGCAATGCCTCACCTCTAGAGTCTTACTGATTACATAAAATGTCCTTTATTGTCTCTTATACTTTCATGAGTGGAGAGGACCTTGCTTAATTAGACTTCAGAGGGGTATGCAGGGTTAGGAGGGGTCAACTGCCTGCCAGTTCCATTGTGGGGAGAGGAGAGAGGCATACAAACCATGCCTCCCCATGATGGGACTATTAAACGGAAATTCCACAAGTGGGAACTTTGTTGCCTATATGGGAAATGGGAAGCCATGTGGCCCTTCTTATAAAATATTTTTAGAAGTTATATCATGGTCAAATTTGACACACTATATATATACACACACAAGTGTTAGGCTAGGGTTTTTTTTTTTAAATATCAAAATAAGATAATCAGTCCCCAATTTTCTGATATTAGCCAAGATGACAAATTACACTAAGGCAAAGTCTTGGATTATTGATGTATAGTTTTCTTAAATTAAAAAAGACAAAGTTAACCCTTCTCCTCTTTCTGCACTTTATGCACTTATTTTCTGTTACACTGAAAAACTGACATGTAGGTCATGTTATTTTAATATGTAGTACTGCCTTCAAAAACTTGAATTATGAATGCCATAAACACTCATTTCTTCTAACTGACAACCTAAATATAAGATAGACATCACCATGAGAACACTGAAATACAAATGCTATTGTATATACATTCCCTTTTATTTTGCAAATGTCCATTCTCAGGAGGCTTGAGAGAAGGGAACACAAGAAATCATCTTTTTAGGCAGCGCAGTAAGTTGTAATCAACTGTAAACCGTTCACATCCCCTCACATCATCCCAAGACTCCAGATGGTTGGCATTCTCAAGTCTTGATTATTTTGTGAAAGCTGCTCTGGCTTGACAAGAAAGGGAGCAATCAAGTGGGTTTTTTTTTAAATCCAACAGTAGCTTTACAGCTTCACTAGTGAATTAAAAGGCTATGGTATACTTAATAAAGAAAGATCTAAGTCGAAAACACACTACATTACAAAATGGACAAAAATGAGTGACCGTTCCGTGCCTAGAGGATCCTGCAGATTAAGTCAGAGATAACAAGAATTGATGAAAATAAGAACATCATAGTGCTACTGCAAGTTTCCTTCAACAAGATCTATCCGCACATTCTAAAAAATTAGTATCTTCCCTATTTAAATGTGTCCTGTAATCTGCAGGGAGTAGCAGCTGCAGCTATGACTCAATGGACATTAAAATAATTTACATTAAAAAAAGGTTGGGGTGTTAGAAACAAAAATAAGAGCCAACAAAATGGAGGAAAAGAAAATCCTTTGCACCATTCCTGTTGAATGGCACAAACATCTTTGACCATGAATAATCCTAATGGTCCATAACAGCGGTGTTTCACCACGGATGAAGTAGACAGAGGAGGAGAAAGAAATAAGAGCGGCAGGCACAACAGCAACTATGCTAAAATATGAGAGAACTAGGTGTGTTACCACATTTGATTAACAAACAAATCCACGTGTTCACCTTTGCTAATTTAAGGAGTGTGCAGGCTTGGATATAGGGGAAGAACTAAGCAAAATTGTTACTGGAGGGATTGAGCAGAAGTAGTCATCGGGCAAGAAAAGTGTATACAGACTCTCTACCATGCCCCAGAGTGCCCCTAGGCCCCCACAATAACCTGGAAAACAAGACACTGAGAATCACACTACTTTTACTAAGCCTGTCTATTTTTCAGAGCTTATTTACATAGCAGAATAAAATGGTGCTAGCATTAGGTATTTTAAGTTTCAGTGAAAAATTACTAAAAACCCATGTGACCCTTACTGAGAAACCAAGAGGTAACAAAAGCGGCAACAAAGAAAATTAAGATTACAATCAGTAATTCAGCTAGCCTAAAAGCACACCCTTACAGCCTTGACACAAAGAGAAATAGTTCAGGAGGAGAAAGCTTTTGTGCACTTTCCTAAAGTTAAATTAAGTTTTAAACCTATATTCGGACAGATATAGGAAGTGATGCATGCAAACTGAAGTGTTGGCTAGTGATCAGAAAAGGGGGCTGGAGTTTTGTTTCTATCTGTAACCATGAACTGATTCATTGTGAGAGACGCTTGTTATTTGAATTCTGGCAGTGCTTAGGAGCCCCGATCAGGGACCAGAACCATGCTGTGCTAAGCACTGTACAAAAACTTAAATTCTATCACTGTCCCAAAGAACTCACAATCTAAGCATAAGACAAGTGGTTACAATAAACAGGCAGGACATTTCTAGACCCGGACACTTATCCTTGAGGTAGGTACCTTAGATAAAACTGTGTCACAGAAAGGACACCGTATGTTTAAATTAACTGTTTGTAAAATGCTTTGAAGTCCTTAAAGGAAAGTGCCTGTAAACTGCCAAATAACTACACACTGTTCTTCAGCCATCATATATTTGGATACTTAACTTAAAAAAAGAAATTAACAAGTGATTTGCACCATAGTATGGTAATTATTTTTCCTTCTAAGACAGTTGAAACACACAAAATGAAAACTGATTAATGTATTTTTCCAGAATGACTTAGCAATTTTATTTATGTCAAGTTCCTCACTAGGAAGGAATTTTCAGTACAGTACCTAGTTATAAATCATAAATCATTGCATTAATAATGTACACAAGATACACAGTATCTTAGCTAAAATAAAGTGAATTTCTGTAATATAGAAACTCATTTTCAAAAAATTACATGTTATATTTTGGGGGGCAAGAGAGGGCTTTTAGAAAAATTTGATTAATCTAACAATACTAGCAGGGAAAACGCTACAAGAACAGGGAAGTACAGTATTCAAATAAATTTAAAATATGCAGAGGTATTATCATAGTAATTAGGTTCTAGAAAATAAGTTGTCTTTACACAAATCAATCTCAAGTGTCCATACAAAAAAACCCAAACATTTGGGATGAGAGATGGATAGAGAGAGGAAACTAGTAGACTGGAAGGCGCCAGCATCACCATCACTGGCTCTGCCACCTAAAGATGACTCATATACAGCTGGAGTGTCAGTGCTTAGCTACTATGTACCATTCTTATCACCACCAAATATTTTATCTATGCTTCTAAGGTTCCTAGGCTGAGACAGCTTCCACCTTTGCAAACTGCACTGCACATCTTTGTTGCTGATTCACAGCCGGCTATAAACTCTGCTACACAACCCTGATGCTGAAAGATTAACTTCAAACAACATGCAGCAAACTTTTGAAACATCACCCTTTAAACATGCAGCTGCATGCATGTGTGGATGATTAGGTACATGTCTAACTGGTTCTCTGTATGCACAAATTCTACTTACGTTGGGCATGTGTATTTTCCACAATTACACTTGTGCCCCAAGTTTTTGAAAAGTTATTGCAAGAAATAAATTATCGTCTTTGCTTGATCACGGAAGAGTAAATCATTCAATCACATCACTCTCTTAAAACATGAGATCTTCACCAAAACCAACAGGTTAGCAACTTCATCTCTTTAATGTTAATCTCATCTACATCCCAATATTTTGACACTATTCTGCCAGACTCTCTTTTAAGAAATAACAAGTCATTTGATCTTCGGATACTAAGGAAATAGGTGGCAATAATTTCCGAAAATCTAATCCTAACCCAAACTACTAAAACCAGCTACACAACTGAAGTGTAAATATAAAAAAATAAAATGAAAATGAGAACCATCAAGCCATAACAATGGTTTGAAATTGAGATGGAACAGGTTGAAAACTGGAAAGGGATCAATGAGTACATATTTCTAACCTTGGGTTTTGCTGGTTTGTTAAATCCTGTGACCTGCAAGGTGTTTGCTTTCCGCGTAGTGGTACAAGTTCCAGATAGTAGAGATCTTTGAAATACACTAAGATATGGATATTGTTTCTCCTCAGCTGCTCCATGCCTCTCCCTTTTTTCTGGCCGCCCCTTCACCACTCACAAAAAAGCTGCTCTGAACATTCCTGATTACCTGCCACTATCTCTGTTTGTCTTTCCATCTCTCCCCCAATTCTTCTTCCAAGGTGCTCCGAGTAACTAACAAATCATTTGACTTTCATGTGTAGATTTCCAACAATGTAGTAACTTCTCTTATTTAAAGTGACATACACTTTCATAACAATATTTTAAAACTTCAGTGTAAAACTCAAAACTAAATACAAAATATGAATAAAGCCAACAAACATATAATTACAAATTGCATCACAAATGTTTTAATGTATATTTATACATTTTTGCATTTTTCTGCACTTCTGCTGAAGCCCCCAAAAAAGTGGACTGTGGTGGTTGCTTTTGTGATGGGTGTACCTTTTACTTAAAATTGAATGAAACTATTTTCAGAGAAGCTAAAGAGCCATCAGATGATAACTTACAGTCATAGTTTACCTGAGCCAAATGAAAAACTCCATCTCTTAATTAACTGAGCCATCCAGTCCCCAAAAGCTTGTGTTTTCCCCATTTGCTTTTGTGCCATTAATTTAGATAAAAGCACCTATGCATATGGTCTTTTAACCATTTGTATAAATCTGAATAAATATCTGTTATCTAGTGTATTTAGCTTGATTTCAAATAAAACAAATTCCTGGTATTATATCTTACCAAAATAGGATAAATCCATATATTTTTATTAAAGTACATACATAAAAGCCTTTGGCTATCAGTGTTTTAGTCAGGAAAGTGCCTAACAGGTGTTCCCCCGGTGTACAACTCTAGGTCGTATCTGTGCACTTAGTGACAAAAATAGTATTTATCACTTATTCTTGCTAGCATAGATGAGCCAATATGACTATGGCAGAAAGTGAGATGGTTTCTCTCCTCCACCCCCACTCATCAAAAGAATTACATTTCAATTAGCAGAATCTTTTTTGCTGGTGATTATGTATGAGGCATAGACACCGTTTGACTTTTAGCCCAGAGACTGAAACTTTGTAGTTGTAAATTTAACAAAGTGACTATTGAAGTGACTGAGATAAAACAGATGCTCGTGGATGCCATTTTTACTGAATTGGACACACGTGGAAGGAAAAAAAAAAAGGAAGCCAGATGAACTCTTTTTCAATTTACTTAAGAGTTCAGGTCATTTGTGTAACAAAGTAAGACTGGCAAAAGACATGTAATTTTCTCTGTTTGTAGCTTTGTATGTATTCTTTATTCGAAGGATGTGCTCATCTTGCAAGACTGCAAAACTGTCCAAAACAGGCCTTTTACAAGGAAAGTTAGCATTAAGGTGCAGTAGCTCAGTTGTGTATTTATATGAAATGTGAGGTAGGTGTTGCTTCAGGGACCACAACATGTGAATTCAGGAGTCAGAGAAGGAAGAGGTAAAGGGAAACAAGTTGTAGTACAGTTGAAAGATAAGAACAGTTAAACAAAGAAGCCTACCTTTTGAAGACTAGTTGGGTTCAATTGTGTTTTGTCAATTATTTTTATTGCAACCTAGAAGAAAAAAGTTTATGATCAGTATTTCCAGTTTAGATGTGATTAGTCTGTAACATGGTTACAGTTGTTTAGTCTTAGAAATGCAAGGCATGAAATCAGATCAAGAAGATTTCACAGATATAGTTTTATTAATAAAACACTCTGAATAAACGTATTTGGAACAAAATGACTCCTGAAGAAAATAAAAGTAGGCTTCAGTTCTGTTGGACATATTGGACAAATCAGACAAAAAACAGCACTTAATGGTATTACAGCAGAGGAAAGTTCAAATGGTAGGAAGTAAGATGTATTGCAATGCAATTTAAATATTAAATACTGTATTGCAGGGAAATAATTTTCCTCTAGATTATAATCTTATAAAATGATACCTATAGACTGGCAAACTGTGAAAATGTTTTAAAAGCAAAGTTTCATAGCAAATTACAGGTACTGCTACACAAATTTCACAGCAGTTAAATTGACCTTTGGCCATTCACTGAAGAAGTATGTGCTCAGCGTTAGCATTCTATTAATGTTATTCCCTTCTTGGTAAGAAGAGAAATGGCATCTTATATATAACAAAGAAATGAACTACACCGCACCAACATTCATTCTTTTATCAGGTTTCCATCTTCTCTGTAAACATTGCACAAAAATTTTGAACCAATTAATTCTTAAAAACTGAAATGTAAGAGTTCAAGAAACCGATCAAACGAAAATTCAGTGCCAAGGCTGCCACGCACTATAAGACATGACAGGTTTCAGAGTAGCAGCCGTGTTAGTCTGTATTCGCAAAAAGAAAAGGAGGACTTGTGGCACCTTGGAGACTAACCAATCTATTTGAGCATAAGCTTTCGTGAGCTACTGCTCACTTCATCGGAAGTCATGAAAGGATCTCTAAATCAAGAGCATGCAGGGAAGTAAGGAAGGGGAGACACTGTGTTTCAACTGAGCTACAAAATAAGTTAGACAACTTCTTATGACTAAAAAGAGCCCATTTATAGAAATTATCAGATCAGACCCAAAGTCCATCTAGTCTCGTATCCTGTTCTCCAATGATGGCTAGTACTAGATGCTCCAGAGAAAGGTGTATGAAACCCACAACAGGCAGATGTTTCATTGACCTGCCTACAATGATACCAGGTCCCTTCTCCAAGTTAAATTTAGGACCTTGTAAGGTGTATGAATAGGTCTTACCAAATTCAGTGCCATGAAAAATGCATCACGGACCATGAAATCTAGTCTTCCCCCGTGAAATCTGGTCCTTTGTGTGCTTTTACCCTATATTATACAGATTTCACGGGCGAGACCAGCATTTCTCAAATTGGGTGTCCTGACCCAAAAAGGAGTTATGGGGGAGTCACAACGTTATTTTAGGGGGTCGCAGTATTGCCACCCTTACTTCTGCACTGCCTTCAGAGCTGGATGGCTGTGCGCCGGGCACCCAGCTCTGAAGGCAGCGCCCCAGCAGCAGCGGTGCAGAAGTAAGGGTTACAATACCATGCCATGCCACCCTTACTTCTGCGCTGCTGCCTTCACAGCTAGGCAGCCAGAGAGTGGCAGCTGCTGACTTGAGGGCCCAGCTCTGCAGGGAGCAGCGCAGAAGTAAGGGTGGCAATACCATACCATGCCATCCTTACTGCGCTACTGCTGGCAGCATCTCCGCCTTCAGAGCTGAGCTCCCAGCCAGCAGCTGCTGCTCTCCAGCTGCCCAGCACTGAATGCAGTACCACAACACACACCGCCCCCCACCCCCTCCATTTTTAGGTCAGGATCGCTACAATTACAACACTGAAATTTCAGATTTAAAATACCTGAAATAATTAAATTTATTCTTTTTAAAATCCTGTGGCCATGAAATAGACCAAAATGGACCATGAATTTGGTACGGCCCTGTGTATGAATAGCGTACATTTTTCCTACAGTCTTCATTATTTTCTACTTATCAACACAACTTTATTTGCCATCATGTTCCTCATTCTTCACCAGTCCTCTCTGGTCTTTACTAACCAAATAAGATTGTGTCAGCTGCAAATTTTGCTACTTCAAGGCTCACTACCTTTCCAAATAATTTAATATATACAACATTGATCCTAGTACAGAACCATGAGGTACCCCACTGTTTTGCCATGAAAACTGGCCATTGGATGCTATTCTGTTTCCTGTCACCTCATCAATTTTTGATCCATAACAATACTTTGCCTCTCTCCACATGACTACTTAATCTCTTGTGAGGGACCCTCTCAAATGCCTTTTGACAGTCTAAAATTGTCAACTTAATCTCCTTTATCCACTACTTTACTGACACATTTGAAGAACTGTAATAGATTAGTGTGACTGTTTTCCTTTGCAGAAGCAGTAATGGTTAGATTTAGATACGATGATCTTCCAAGTGTTCACTATTCTATTTTTAATTACTATTTTAACCAGTTTGCCAGGAACAGATGTACAGCTCACTGGTCTAATTCCACAGATCACTTCTCAAGACCATGGGTGTCCTGACCCATGGTCATAGGTAATCATAGGTAAAACATTTGCTACCCTCAAACTCTCTGGAAAAGCAGCCATTTCAGTAAAACACTGCATATTTCTGTTCGCGGCTCAGCCACTTCATACTTAGGCTTCTTCAGAACTCTTGAATGTGTACCATCTGAGCCTGGAGACTTACTAATTTAAAAATCATCAATTTGTTCCAACATCTCTTCTTCTGACACCTTAGTCTTGGATAGTACCTCATCTTTACTGCCAGAAAAGAGCAGTTCCAAGGCAGGTATCTCGCCAATATCCTCTGCAGCAAAGATCAATGAGTCACTTAGCTTTCCAGCAATGTCCTTATTTTCCTAATTGCTCCCCTTAACCCACTGACTTCTTCACAGGCTTCCTGCTTCTGGCAAAGAATCTCTTGTTTATTTAAATACACTTAAGACTTCAACATTGTGAAAAAGATTCTGGATTCCAACAACACATCCTTTTCTACCATGCCAATTTTTACACCTTTTACAGTTCTCAAAGGGAGATTATTGTCCAACAGCAGAAGTGCCCACCTTTATGCTTTTACATGTTTAAATATCTGAGTTATCAAAGAGAGAAATGCACAAATGCAGGTTACCATGAATAAATTAACCAACTGAAAGTAAATGGTGTGAATATGAGAGGGTAGATGTACAACATGGGTTTATGTGGGTAAGGCTAGATCAAACTGGTCTAAGTTCACAACCATTAAAGTTTAACAGGAAGGCTGAATAAGGAAGAGAGGCAATAACAGTACTCCTTAAATTCATGTATAAAGGGTATAGCTGTAGTCACTCCCTTGGAAGAGGGAGGAGTGTTTGGAGACTGCAGACACACATAGGCTGCAGTTGCTCCATGGGAGGACAGAGCAGTGAAACTGACAAACCCAGAGAAGGGAGGAAGAGTCAGAAGGTTAGGACAGGGCTCAGAGGAATGCAGCAAGGTATGGGTGGAACATACCTTGACTGCTGACTAGAGGGTCCCAGAGCAGGAACCCAGAGTAGAGGGTGAACCCAGGTTCCCCAACCAGTCACTGTGGAAGTAGCACCAGTGGAGTAGTGTATAGGAAAACTGCCTGAGCCTGTCTGCGAGATTTCCTTTCCTTTCCAGCCCCCAATTGGAAGGGGAACCACGACAGTGACCTAGCCGGAGGGGTGAGTCACGAAGAGGCCGCAGCAGCTCCTGGAGTGAAAGAGGGGCTGCAGACAAAGACAGAGGAGGAGGGACAGCTTGCAACTGTGGGGAGAGATGTCAACCTGGTGGGCTATTTCCCAGAAGGGCCAGCAGGAGATGCTATATCTGCAGTGGGTAGAGCATCCTGTCACAGACATTCCAAGCCCAAATCTATTCTAGCTATCTATTGTAAAATAAAACTATTTACAAAATGCTGAAGGACGCAGCAAATTCTGTGGACACTGAAGTGTTCGCTCTTAGATCACAGGAAGGAACTGGAGAAGTGCTCGGTCCACACTGCCCCTTATATCCTAAGTTCAGAGCATGAGGCCGAGGGTCCAAAGGACACGGCTAGCAATAATTTTCATGCCTCAGGTACACGAAGCACATGAGTATCCATAGTGGAATAAACAGAGACCAGCACTTAAAGAACCACCTTCACTATCAGAGAAGCCATTATATACAGACATAGGCCTGAACTCTGAAGTTCAGAACCAGATCAGCATCTCAATATTCCCACAGTTCAAGAGAGTTCAGATTCAAGTTTGTTCTGAGCCTCTTTCTATATGTAAGACAGTGGTGAGCTGTCACCAGTAGACTACAAAAAAGCATTTTAACGTTGGAGGGGATTGGGTAGTACATTCCACTACAGAGTATGCTGTGAAAAAACAAAGTTCAGTTTCACTACCATTTTCTGGGGTTAAATTCTATTATGAAATCTTGAAACATCCCTTTTAGAAAAAAAAACCTACAAACACACTGAGTAATAAGTCTCTTTCCTTTGATTCATTACCTTGCATGGGATCAAGACATATTTTTATCTTCATATCACATCAGTCAAATTACACTTGTCTAGATAAAAAGGTTATTTACACCTTGAGACCTCTTTTGGATACAGACTGGAGGCACAGTGATCCATCTGTAGATTGGATTACTTTAACATGTTGTACATGGTGCTGGCCCCTCAAGACCACCTGGAAATGGCATAGAATGCAGATGTCTGATTAAGTGGTGCTTCCTGCAGGAAGCAGATCAAATTTGTTCTCTGACATGAACTAGGTTCCAATTAGTTTCTGGGTGGCATTTAAAGATACTTGATTCTACCTATAAAGACTCAACGGATTTGGGTCCTGTAAACTAAGTCCACCTCTCACCTCTATACACATGGCACTACTGCCACCAAAGAAAGCTCTCTGATACCAGTAAACTGGCAGGATTTGGCTTGCCAGTCATCAGTAAACATCAATTTCACTGGACACACAAATCAACAAAAAAATCCAACACTAAAAGTCAGCAAGTGCAGCCTCCCATACACCTAGTGTATGCAGGGATCCAGTGAAACCAGCCCAGTAGCTGCATAGAGCGCCCTCTGTAGCTCCATTGTCACAGACACTCACTCACTCACAACCAAGAGCAGAGGGCCCATCCCTGGGCAGGAGCCATTCAGCAGTGGGGTGGCGGTCCCTGCAGCTGGGGGCTCCTCCTCCTCCTTGTGGCCCTGATTGGGGATCTCTGCTCTGCTGGGCCAGGACTTCAACCTCCCCCAGACCTTGCACCCAGGGGTTATCTCGGGTCCTTTGGCTGAGCTGAAAGCCCTTTGAAACTCTACTGTCACCACCACCACCCTAATCCTACACCCCCTAATTTCCCGCACCTGTGAAAATTAAAAAAGTTAAAAATAAACACAAAGATAAAAATCAATATGATCGATCAAAATTACAAAAAACGATAAAAACCAAATTCTGCCACTCCTACATACAGCTGACATCCTGGGGAAGAGATAAAACCCTCGTCTTACCTGTTATACTAAGTATGGTTGACAAAACATCAGCCAGCCCTTCAGAATGGAGACTCTTGATACCCATGATACAAAGCCGACTTGCAAGAATTCCAAACATCGTGGTCAATGTTGAAGGAGTGTTGTAGATCTTATACCATTACTTTTGAATATCAGTCATGCTCTCTCATATGTCAGAAAGGAATCACGGTGAGGTTTCCAGAGTGGAGATGAACTTTTCCAAATATCCTCTTTTTCTTTCTCAGGAACCACCACGCAAACACTAAGCCTTGAGATAAAAGATCCCTCCAGTGTACCCGAAACGAGGGAGACCTCTTTGCTGAAATGACTCGGTTGGGACAACATTGCCTCTTTGGCCAAGGGGTGCCACTAAGATTACTATTGTTTTCTCCCTCTTGATCTAATGACTAATCCTCAATAAAAGAAGGAAGCAATGGAAAAAGCATATAAGAACTCTGGTGCCGGGACTAAGACAGGACATCGTTGCTATGACCCTTGGGTCCTTCTGATGGGCAAAAATTTGAGAACCTTGAAACTGAAGGGAGGCAAACCAGGACTGCCATTGGAGAGCCAAATGTTCTTGTCAGGTTTGTGGAAATCTGCAGAAAAACCCTCCACCTTGTTTGGTCTATCTTCCTCCTGCTGCTCCAGTCTTCAGTGACATTTAAACTTCCCAGGTTCTTTCTACTCAGGAGAGGCTGCTGTTGTGCCTCCCTCTGAAGACAGAGGCCTTACAAGTAAGCAAGTTGTGGCAGACATTTCTCCATTATACTAACAAACAACCATTATTCATGGTGGGAAGCAGCGCTATACTGTACCACCTTAAGCTCCAGACATCTACAATGGGCCTCCTCTCTCTTTTGAAACCCACGATCATAGGATTGTTCTAGTTTCCTGAATGGGTATTGCAACCTTCTAGGCTGGCCCTCAGGCATGACGACTATTTTCTGTAAATCTGCTGCCCCACAGGTACTAGTGGAGTGAGTTCAGTGCTACTCCTAGGTGTTGGACATTTGATACTGGACAAGATAAAACTTGGTATAGAAAAAAGTTCTGAAGAAGTCTCATGTGAGCCTGGGTCCACTGAAGGGAACACATACATGACCCCATCATTTCCAGAAACAACATAACAAATGGATAGTGACGCTCCTCTGAAACTGCTAACCACTCAAACTAGTGTTCTTAGTTTTCCCTCTCTCTCTTGAGACACAAATACTTACCTGTACCGTCACAATTTTAGTCCCAAATGTTGAATCTTCCATGGAGGAGTCAATTGGCTCTTTTCCTGACTGAAGACAAAGCCATGCTTCTCCAGAGTCTGGAATGCTCATGGAGAGTTTTCTTCTGCTATGTCTTTGGATTGTACCCTGATCAAATGGTTGTCTAGGAGGAGATAGAAATGGATCCTTTCCTCCCTGATGGCTGCTACAACAAGGAGCATCTTCATAAATACTCTGGGAACAGAACCAAAACAAAGCAAAGGGCAAATACCTACACTGAGAACATGGTCATTCCAAAATAAAACAAATTTCTCCTGTTGAATTGTCAGATGGGAGTAAGGAGAGCTTGCTTTAAATAGGAATACTGCCTACGTTTGGTGCCCAAGCAGGTTCAAGTATATTTTAATTTTGACTTTTCTGCTAAACTATTGAGGTATTCCAATTTGAAACTTCTGATCCTAGCAGTTTTCTTTGCAATTAGGAGAGAATGAAGTACAGGCCTGGGCATCTTTTGTTCCACTTCACAGCAGATGACAGATACCATTATAATTCTGATTCTTTCCTTGACTGGATGCTGATCAAGATGGGATGAATTCACACTCTGGGACCTGCTGGTGTTAACATTTTCAAAAGCACATATGTCATTTAAATGACAAGTGCCTAAGTCACTTCTAAAAATGGTACTTGGAAGCTGACATCATCCAAGTCCCTTAGACGCTTTTGAAAATATGTTTATCCTCAGTTTTACTTTGAGCTCTTTAGAATATGGTTTATTATGGTCTGTTGTACTTGAACAGTTAGAAAAAAATATAGAAATAGTTGAAAAGTCTCTATAGCATTTTAGTAACTAACTTCAGCATGTACTTGTTTCATGAATGAGTAGTTTTTTCCCTTTTAGTTCTTGAGTCATTATGAGGTAGTTGGGGGCTTTTTAAAATACAGAACTCAAGTATACAGAGGTATTTTCACTGTGGCAATAAAACTTTACACACAATGTTAAAACTCTATGGAAGAGTTGACTCAAAAGTAAATTAGCTTTTAAAGTAAAATTTTTACCCCTCATACTAGGAATCAGGATTTCTCTCAGTGCATATCTCACTGACAGCAAGAGGGCACAGCACAACCAACAGCACATAATGCTGATTATTCTTGAAGTTCAGAAACATCACTGACCAAAACAGTGGTACATGACCACAAAAATAGCTGTAATATCTCTCAAAAAAACCTCTGAGCAATACCTTTGGGGAGGACATTCAGACCGATGATTATACATGCAGTAGGATGATGAATTCTCATATTTATATGCAAAAAGAAAAGGAGTACTGGTGGTACCTTAGAGACTAACCAATTTATTTGAGCATGAGCTTTCATGAGCTACAGCTCACTTCATCGGATGCATTCAGTGGAAAATATAATGAGGAGATTTATACACACACAATAACAGAACCCCGCCACTAGCCATCACCTTCAGCCCCCAACTAAAAACGCTCCAACGCATCATCAAGAATCTACAACCTACCCTGAAGGACGACCCATCACTCTCACAAATCTTGGGAGACAGGCCAGTCCTTCCCTACAGACAGCCCCCCAACCTGAAGCAAATACTCACCAGCAACCACACACCAGAACCACTAACCCAGGAACCTATCCTTGCAACAAAGCCCGTTGCCAATTGTGTCCACATATCTATTCAGGGGACACCATCACAGGGCCTAATCACATCAGCCACACTATCAGAGGCTTGTTCACCTGCACATCTACCAATGAGATATATGCCATCGTATGCCAGCAATGCCCCTCTGCCATGTACATTGGTCAACCTGGACAGTCTCTACACAAAAGAATAAATGGACACAAATCAGATGTCAAGAATTACAACAGTCATAAACCATTCATAAACTTCAATCTCTCTGGTCACTCGATTTCAGACCTAAAGGTCGCAATATTAGAACAAAAAGACTTCAAAACCAGACTCCAACGAGAGACTGCTGAATTGGAATTAATTTGCAAACTGGATACAATTAACTTAGGCTTGAATAGAGACTGGGAGTGGATGGGTCATTACACAAAGTAAAACTATTTCCCCATGTTTATTTCCCCCACCCCCCACTGCTCCTCAGACGTTCCCGTTAACTGCTGGAAATGGCCCACCCTGATTATAACTACAAAAGGTTTTCTCCACCCCCTGCCGCTCTCCTGCTGGTAATAGCTCATCTTAAGTGATCACTCTCCTTACAGTAGATAACAGTACTCTCCTTGATAACACCCATTTTTTCATGTTCTGTGTGTATATAAATCTCCTCACTGTATTTTCCACTGAATGCATCTGATGAAGTGAGCTGTAGCTCACGAAAGCTTATGCTCAAATAAACTGGTTAGTCTCTACAGTGCCACTAGTACTCCTTTTCTTTTTGCGAATACAGACTAACACGGCTGCTACTCTGAAACCTGCCATATTTATATGTTGTCTTTCCTCCAGAAATAGTTCAAAGTACTTTATACGCTACTCTTACAAGAGCATACCTCTTAAGTGTCCCTCATTTTGAGAGATGCCATTTATTTTAGTCTCCAAATTACGTAAATTCCACACAAATATGATGGTCACTTTTACTGTTGAAAGTTATTTTCTTCAGAAATGTAACATCATGAAACTGAGGTTAAACAAAAGATTTACACCAAAGGGAAAAAGGTATCCTCTTTTTTGGGTCTTTGTCACATGCTACATCCCACCTCTGGAGTCCATGGCATTCACATTCTCTAAACCATATTTAACAGAAAATTGCAATATTACACAACAGCTTAGGACACAAAATAATGAATATTATTAATGCAAAGTGAATTTAAGTAGTCAGAATGTAATTACCCAAATTAGAAGTCAGGACACCAGCATTATTCTGGAGATAGGTGGTGGATGGGTCAACCATGGCCCATTCTAGAGATGACACACCTCCACTGCCTCCAGTACCATTGGTTCTGTATTGACTCAGGTATGGAAACGCCACCTACTAAATCCCCAATACTACTGCGTTCAGCAACTTAGTTTTCCTTGTAGATCTTGGCCAATAGGGTCACTTCAACCTCACAATGCCCAAGTTCATTCCAAACCCATCAATTTAAGTCAACAAGAAGTGCTGAAAAGGAAAAGTCTTTACCCTGCAGTAGATTGAAACTAGCTACTGATAACGAAGGTACAGCAACAAGAAACACCTTCTATAGCAAATTAACTGTTTACTAGTAGGAATATAATTTATTTCCACAGAAAGGAACTGTCAGATGTAAATTACAACTTATTAACTGTATTGCAGTAGCACCTAGGAAACTAGTTATGGGTCAGGGCTCAATTGTGCAAGACACTGTGCAAACACACAAAGGCTCCCTGCTTCAAAGAGCTTATAAGTGCTATATATTCTGCCTCTGTTTGCATATGCAAAGGAATTCTCCTAGCAAATTTCAATATTATTCATTTACTTAACAGATACTTCAGAACACACCCTCGACTTTTAGGTTGCAAAGTAGTGGTAATCCCAACTCTCCTCTACTGCTGTGAGACTTGGGTGTCCTATACAGGGCCGGCTCCAAGCACCAGCTTCGCAAGCAGGTGCTTGGGGCGGCATTTGGAATCAGGCGGCAGTCCACGTCCTGCGGCGACAATTCGGCGGCAGCTTTGCCGCTCTTCTGGGAGCGGCGGCAATTCAGCGGCGACTGCTTGGGGCAGCAACATTGGTAGAGCCGCCCCACATCCTAGAGAAAACACCTGAAAAACCTGGAATGCCAGCACCAGCACTTTCTTCAGAAGATCCTCAACATAAAGTGGGAGGATCGCCGCACTAACACCAGTGTCCTCACAGAGGCCGACATCTTCAGTGCTGAGGCCCGGATCATCCAGCACCAGCTGAGGCGGAGCGGGCACTGTGGGTGCATGACTGAAATACACTTACCAAAACAATTGCTCTACACCCAACTCACCAAAGGGGAAAGGAAACGGGGAGGTCAAAAGAAACACTTTAAAGACACCCTCAAGATAAACATCAAGAGATGTGGCTTTGACGCCACACGCTGCGAGGCAGTAGCCCGGGAGAGGGATAACTGGTGAAGACCTGTCAGAGAAGGAATGTCCACTTGAGGAGAATTGCCTTGCCCTGGTCACAGAAAAATGCCAGACAACCGTCACCCAGCAATCATGGCCAACACCACCTGCAACATCTGCCAACGAGCCTGTGGCAACAATCAGACTCCTCAATAAAAATAGAAGTTGTGAAAGAAATCACCCTCAACCTTGAAGAATTGCCAAAGACAACAACTTGCTAACAAACATTTCTTAAAGATCCAGTATAAAACAGGCCCTTTTTAATAAACAGCATTTTGTATACATCACTAAAAGCCAAGAATTTAGTTTTCTATATTTTTGTTTTCAACATTTTACTTTCCAGCAAATGCATAGAAGTTTTGGGGGTTTATCCATTTCTCTCTAAAGAAAAATGCCATGTTATTCTTGGACTCCACATAACGCTATTTAAAGAGCACTTTCAGAACCAGTGCAATAGAGCATGCTTTACAGAGTTAACAAAAGCATTTTACCTCTCTGCCAGTAAGGATGTGCCTAGCCAACTTTACTTTTGCAAAATTCCCCTTTCCAATAGTTTTAAGAAGTCTGTAATTTCCAATATGAGGTTGCTCATCTGCACAGGAAGCTATAGAATTTCTACAGCGAGCTCCAGAGCGCCCAGTTCGTGAGGAAACTTCTTGACGTCCTTCTCCATGAGAGGTGTGCTGTGATAAAGATAATAAATGTGTAAGATAAAGTGTTAAATAAAATAAGTACATCAATTACAAAAACGAAGTTCTGAAGCATTACATATCACTGAGTAATTAACCTGAACTGGAGAAATTTCTGTTTTACAGCAATCTACAATTACACATTTTGGGTGTCACTAGTATATCTGATCCACACACTCTCTCCTTCCTTATGGGCCTATATGGCAGCAGTTAGAGGCAGCTCTGATCAACTTCAGTATTGATTCCACACCGCTGTTTAAGGGTTCAATTCTAAAAGGTGCTGAATTCCCACAAAATCCACTGAATAAAGTATTAGGTACAAAGGCTCAGTACTTTTTAGGATTTTGACATATGGTCTGATGCTGTATGGAATACATGAGACACTTATAATATTGGTATCAATAATATCCTGCCAATGTAATTAACCTTACCAGATATGCCATGTAAGATATCAGTGT